AATAAACAGAAACTTATATCACAGTTTGCTTAATTCTGTGTTAGATATGAGATTATGTGATGTATGCAATGCTTAATTGTATAAGGATAATTTGGGGTTAATCTTCGCTTAGTTGGTTAATTTCATGTTGAAATAAGGGTTAAGGAAAATTTGGGATTAATCTTCGCTTAGTTGGTTAATTTCATATTGGAACAAGGGTTAAAGCTAATTTGAGATTAATCTTCGCTTAGTTGATTAATTTTGGATTAGGATATAATTTGGGATTTATCTTCGCTTAGTCGGTTAATTTCGAATTAATTTCGTAATCTAGGATAAGTGACGCTGCATTAGAATCAGAAAATCAATTGCATTTTAATCTGTTTTTAATCCGCATTTTTATAATCTGTTTTTGTTTTGTTTCATCTAATATTTTAATTTTGAAAAACTCCCCTTTTGATTTTTTGTTACTAAAAATTGATAAACTTTGATAGAAATTTGTGGTCTTTGGGAGACGACCTAGGAAAGCTTCCTAGTACTACATTTATCTGTTTTAATTATTTGACCGAGTACGACATCGATCAAAGACAAAAGTATCAAAGCTCGTACTTCATCATCGAACTCGATCCCAACTGAACTCAACTGAGTTGTAACAGTATTGAGTTCATTGATATGTTGCGCCGTTGAAGCGCCTTCAGACATCCGTAGATTGAACAACCGCCTCATCAAATGAACTTTGTTTGAGGCTGATGGTTTCTCGTACATACTAGAAAGAGTATCCATAAGACCTACTGTCGTCTTTTCTTTTGCAATGTTAAAAGCAACATTACGGGATAACGTCAGTCGAATGGCTCCAAGGGCCTTTCTGTCGAGAAGAGTCAATTCCTCCTCTTTCATACCCTCTGGTTTCTTTCCTGTGAGTGGTTCGTACATATCCTTCTGATAGAGGTAATCCTCGATCTGCATCTTCTAGAACCCAAAGTCCGCACCATCGAACTTCTCGATTTTCACCTTTCCTTCATCTACAGTCATCACTCTAACTCGGATCTGACTTTTCTGGATCGTTTCTGACAAGTTCTGTGAACTACCGTGTTTCGGAACACGTCTGTAGATAATTTTGTAACACCGACAAAATTTTTACTATTCATTTTTTACTATTTACGAAATAGTAAATTCACTATTCATATAAATAGTGTCACCATAAAAATTGCAGAGTTAACAACCAGCTCTGATACCAGTTGTTAGGAAAAATACACAGAACTTTTTCATGTAGTCAGATCTGTGAAAATGAAATAAAAACGAAATAAATACGAAATAATTGGACACATCAATTGATAACGGAGTTCGGCCAAAATTGTCTACGTCTCCGAACTACTGCAAATATTTTACTGGGAGAAAAGAAAATACACAAGTGTTTACAAAGTACTCTCAAAACACTCGCAACCCTCAACCCAATTATACCCAGAAATTAGATTATTTTCTTTCTGCTTCTTGCTGGCTAACTCTTGTAATGGTTGCTTTGGAATTGGATGATAGAAATGAATGAAGTGAAAAAACATTTTATAGCAAAAGAAATGGTTATTGTATATTTAAGGATTTCCATTTTTTCTTGTCTTCAACCACTTGTCATATATTGTTGCAGGTAGCATCAATTGTCCCGTGGCGAAGGCCAGGTGGGTCGAGTCACAATCGAATCGTGGCACTTGAACTATTAAAGTAAAAAAAGTTGTAGTTTGACTAATGACTATAGCTTTTTGGCCATGTTAGACGTTATAAAAAACATTCGAGGTATGTTTTATTCACAGGAAAGTTACACGCCTTTAGTTGTAATATTTTTATTCCTGTTATAAGGGGATGGGTGAGTTACATTTCCATGGGAGCAGAGAAGTTACTTCATAACTTCCATTCTTTTATTATAGTTAATCTATAATTTAAAAGTATTACTAGGAATATGAAAAGTTAACCGACATGTCTATGTGAGTGAGTGTGAGTGTGAGTGTGTCCACTATCACAGAACGCGTTAGGATAGGAAAACTGATAAAAAAGACTAATATTATTGATGATTAAGGTAATACTCGATTGGGAAACTTTCTCACTGCCACATAGCAATGCTCCTCCAAAGAGCTATATAACAACTTCATATAATGCTGAAATTTCTATAAGAAAACTGACGGTGACTTACATGAAGACATTAAAAATAAAGTTCATACAATATATATGAATGTGTTTAATACTATATATTATTAGATAATGTGTTATTTTAGAGACAATTTCTACTAAGCTTTAATTTTAAAACTCAATCTTATCTATAATCATCAAAACATGTAAGTCCACTTTATCATTCCCATTCTGCCCTCTCCTATTTCTTTCCACAAAAAATCCACACATCTTGGGCTTGGTCAGTAACTAGAAAAAGTATAACAAAATCGTCTTAGAACTTCCACCGATGCTTCTAATGTTTTTGCCCTCATAAAATTGTTCTTTCAATTATTTCAGTATGCATCTGACAGATACCCAAGAAACAATGATATGGATGTATTGTATTATGGTATGAAAATGAAAAATATCAGCCCCAGGGAACCTGGCAGCTGATTATAATATTTATATGTAATAAATAAATTTTGAATAGGTTATACGTGTTTTAATTACATTTTGTTAATTTTAATAGAGTTTTCATTTAATAATAATATCCACACATTTATTGTAATTTTAAAGTTTTTTTTTTTTACCTTTGTTTGTGATACATTACATATATTATTAATCTGAAATTCAAACTTATGAAAATAAAAAATTAGAGATTATACTTCACGGTTAAAGAATGATTTATTGTTATTATAACAATAATCTTTTATGCTTCACTATTATAATTTAATACTAGTTTTTAATGTTATCATTATAATAACTAATGTTATCTGTTCTTATATGTATTAATTGTACATTAAATTTAAGAATAGCTATATGCACTCATTATCATGCATGTATGTGGATGAGTGTATGTGCAACATGTTTGTGAATTGACTTGAAACTATTCAAGCTTAATCAGTAATTTTATTTATTTTTTACTCAATCTTATGTGAAAAAAAGTTAGGTAACCAATTGTAAATAAATTTTAATTATTTGATTTTATTTTAAAAATATTAATTATTTAAAATTTCAACATTTTTTTACAATTCTTAATATTATGCTTCAAGACAACTTAAATGTTAATTAGATTAGTTTTACCCTTATAAACCCCATTTATGTAATCAAAATTATACTCGTTAATAAAATTAGAGATAGGTAAATAGTAAATATTTACTTCTCAGTGGTTTAATATATATTTTACAATTTGTTTTATAAGCTGCATAAATATCTTTTACAAATTAAATTTTATTTAATATATGAACTACTTTATAAAACAACTTCATCTATTTTTTTAAATTCTTCTTAATCTGTGTATAAATTAATTTAAACTTACGGGAAAAAATCGTTATTTTATTATTTTTCTTTGGTGGGTGCTTATATTGTTCAAACATATATTTGTAAATTTAGTATTTTTTTTATATTAAGTGCTTTAAATACTAATATTATGTTTGATTGGTTGGTTGAAGAAAAAAGGAAATTGAGAGAATAGGTTTAAATTAGTATTTTATATAATAAAACATTAGGTAAATTTTACCGTATTTTGTTCATCTATTATTTATCACTGTTGTTTTCGTTTGTCTTCAACTAAACAACTTTAATTGATCACCTATTTATACTTTTATTTTATATATTTTATTTCTCTCATTTTTATCAAACAAAACATAAAAGAAATAAAAATAGTTCAACATTATTAGAAACCATTTTAGTGCCATTTCAAGATTTTATTTTGATACTATAAAATTTTTAATACCTAAATCAATATATCATGGTTCTTTTCAAGAAACTAAATAAGTAATTTACCATTTTTAGAAATTATATTTTATCATCCTTAAGTAACTGTACTTGTTTTCATTAAACATTTTAGTTTTATTTTTTTCTTCATACACTTTTTACTACTTTTAACACCTTTTTTTCAAATTTTTTATTATTGATAGATTGTATCAAATTAAAGATATTTCAGAACAATAGATTTTAAATTATTATAATTTTGTAATTTTTTTCAATTTTAATTTTTAACATTATATTTATAAAGATGATAGAACATGGAAGGTTTAATTAATATTTTTAAATTTTAAATTTTTTGAAAGAATTGGTTTTAGTCCTTCCACTTTAAAAAAAATTATAAAAATTATAAAAATATGGATTTATTTCTTAAATACTAAATTTGAAGAAATAAAAATAATTTTAATTTATCAAATTTACATGTAGGAAAAAAGTATTAAAAAAAGAATTAAAATGTTTTTTAATTTGAAGAATCAAAACTATATTTACTTTAAATACTGGATATTAAAAACATAATTAAATTAATACTTCGTATTGGTTTTTTAATAATCTATTAAAAGTCATATAGTTTTAATTTTATTATTTAAATTAGCAAAACGAGTATTATTATTACTACAAAACGTCTAATGATACATTTTCTTTCATTTTTTTTCATTTATATCATATCATCAATGTTTTTTCGTTAGGTAAAAATTATAATTTTGACCACTGTTTGATTTATTATCCACTATTTGAGCTTTTTTTAACTTGAATCCTTATATTTTTAAAATTTGTAAATATGATTAAATATTTAATTGATATACGTTTTACAAATTTGATTAAATATTTAATTGTATATACGTTTGTTTATTTTATTTTGAATCAGCTAAATTCTAATATAACCCAATATCCAAAATCTGCAACCTGACGAACACCATAGAAGCCAGTCTTGCAGTTCCAAATCCCTTTCTCTTTCTTTCGGTTTCCGATCAACTATTCGCGCTGTGTGCATCAATTATTGATCGTAAGTACTCTCCTTTTTCCTCTCATTCCTCTTTCGCAATTTCCCCTTCTTCAATTGCTTCATCTTGTATCGCTTTCTTTTTCGTATTCGATTGATGCGCCTACTTCCGATTCAATATTGGCGTTCTCTCGTTACATAACCCCTTCGATTTCACAATTTGTTCCGCAGTTGAGATTCCGGGTAGAATCAGGTTTTATTTTTCCGTTCTGTCGATTTGTGCTTCGCTTAACCCTAATTTAAGTTTTGCTGAGATTTTTATTTTATTTTTTGCATGCGACTTGTTTCTCATTTAATTCGTGTTTTTTGTGTAATTTGCACGTACAGATCGATCATTCCAGGAAATACTTCTTGCAATTGGTGAGTCTGCTGCAGACAATGCGGGGCTATGACAATGAAGGAGATGTAAGCATTCCTGATTTTTTAGGGTTTAAGTCATCATTTCCCATTTTACTACTCTTTGTTCTATTATTGCCTTTCTTTCTTTCTTTCTTTTTTAAGTTTTATGCAGCAATTTTTTGCCTCATGATAATTCCTATTTTTTGGAACACCAGGATTATGATGATTATTACGAGGACGAGGGACAAGACGAGTATGAAGAGGAGAATGAGGAAGAGTATGAAGAAGAGGAAGAGAAACCTAGGAAACCTTCAAAGGAAGAAATTGAGTACCTTGAGTTGAGGCAGAAGCTGAAAGAGTCAATTAGAAAGCAGATGAAGAAGGAGAGTAGTGGTAGTAGTACTTCGCGCTTGGATGGAACAGACCGAAGGAAGAATAAGCTTCCTTATGATAAGTGAGTCTTGCAATCATATTTTCACCAACAATTTTTTACGTGCTTTGAGGAAGTCTCGAGCTAAAATATCCTATTTTGATTGGGGCTTTGATTCAAGAATCCAAATTTGTATTCGTTTAGTAAGTTCGATTGTACCTTGTTTCGGACATGACGACCTTGATCTGATTGATAAAGCCGCTTGTTTATCATGAAAATCTATATGAAACCAGTTGTTTGGGGGATATGATTTCATTTCCTTATTTAATTTATATGTTTACAACACATGGAAGGTTTTTTTTTTTTTTTTTTTATATCTTTTGGGAGGCTAGTTACTGCCTAACCACCATTCTTTTTACTTTTTTTGTACATTTGGATAGATGTTTTCATTACCTTATAAAAGGTAAGATGCTCAGTTGATCTCACACAATCCATAACCTTGTTCTATTGAGCTTTTTCTTTTTATATTGATTTTGTGCAATCATTTCTTTGTGTAATAGGTCTGAGTTTAGTCTTGTATAGTTTAATTATTGTTTGGTTTTTAAGCTATCTGTTATTTCATTTATCCAATTTGTGATTTTGGGACTTAAGATTTTGTTACTTTTTTCTTTTGCCTTGTTTGTGTGATATTATTATACATGCTTTGTTGCTCTTCATTGATAAATATTGAGTTTGGTTGGCATGCTGCTTGTTAAGTTGAATTTTTCTTATGGCAACAGTGAAATGTTATCTCCTTCTTTGGTTGCAGTTATGGTTCCTTTTTCGGTCCATCTCAGCCAGTTATTGCACAGAGAGTAATCCAGGAGAGCAAGTCATTGCTAGAAAACCAGCATGTGGCATCTAAGGTTTCTAACCCACATCACATTGTAAGTTTTCAGAATCCCTGATTTGGTGTTCCTTCATAAGAAGTTCTTTATAATATTATTTATCTTCATTTTGTGCTATTATAATTCCTTTCCTTTTCGGGGTCTTATAGCAAATGGCACCTTATTTCCCATTAGCGATGTGACAAAGAACACATATCACCTTGCCAAAAGCATAAGCTGGCAGGTGCAACTCTTGACATATGGCTCCCTGCATTAGATACCCTTCCCTATTTAAGCCATTGAGCTGGGCTAGGACATTAGCTTGTACTCTCCCAACCCTTTAGGTATGCCAATTACACATTTACAGTCCACCAAATGCTCTGAAGTGTAGCGAATGCACCTAAACCTTTGATTTTAATTGTTATCAAAGTGGAGTGCTAGATTTTTAACATTTACACTTGGAGCAGGATTTGTCACTTCTTGGACATTAGATTGTCTAGCATTATTTCGCTAGGTTAGATGGGAGTTTCTCTTTTGCCCTTTGTGCTTATTTAAATGACTTATGAAGCAGCTGGGTGCTTTTTAATATATTTTTTTCCCCGGAGTGTCTTATTGAATGTTGTTTCCTCATAATGATATTTTCTGCAGAAGAAAAACCAGAATAAAGCACCTAGTGGGGGATCAAAGTCTTCATCTCATAATCCGCCTCCCAAAGTCAGCCAGGTCTTGTGGCTATCTTTTTAAGTTTTGCATGTAACTTTGTAGCTCAGTCTCATGCCCTAAATGATTATTTTTCTTGTTCATACAGATGCAAGTTAAAGCCCAGAAACTCAAGAATACTAGAGATTACTCGTTTCTTTTATCTGATGACACGGAGCTTCCAGCACCTTCTAAAGCTCCCCCACCTCGGAATATGCCTATACGAAATTCTGGTATATTGCTCTTGGCTATGTGTTTATATGGTGTGGAATGTTGGATTAAAGCATGTTATTGTAATTAAGGAAACTTATACAGGATTTTTGCTGATGTTGAAGATGGACGACCAGCTCAAGTTCCACCAGCAAGGAGTAAACAGCCTGTAAGCAATGGTAACAAGCATGTTCGTGCCAGTCATGAGGAACGGAACCTAGGTTCTGCGGCTGGTCGTTTGCCTCCTAAATCCGGTTCCAGTTATAAGACTAGTTCAATCAGTAAACCTAGTATGGCATCAGCTGATTCTAGAAAACAGCTTGGTAACAATAGTGGTAATGGACCAGGCCGGCCAATAGGGTCAAATGGCATGTCTTCAAAGATGTCTGTTGCTAACACAGGGAACAAGTCTTCAACAACTGGTATGAAAAACCCTGTGAATGGTATGCAAAAATCACTCCCTTCAAAGACTCATCCACCCATTTCAAGGCAGAGCGTGGATCAAAGAATTCCAAGGCAGAGCATGGATCAAAGAATTCCAAGACAGAGCGTGGATCAAAGAATTCCAAGACACAGCGTGGAGCAAAGAATTCCAAGACACAACGTGGATCAAAGAATTCCAAGGCAGAATGTGGAACAAAGAATTCCAAGGCAGAGTATGGAACAAAGAATTCCAAGGCACAGTGTGGAACAAAGGAAAGACATACGAGAACTAAATAGACCTAAAATGATACCAAAACAACCTGTGGCATCATCAAAACCACAGGTGTGGTGATATATACTTATGTTCACTTACACATGGGTCCATTATATTGTTGATTTGTACCTTTAATATATATTTAAATTGCTCACTCATCTTTCAGGTAAATAAGCCACTGAAACAAAATTCAATGCAAACTGCTTCACATGATCATCGTTCCAAGCCTAAGGTTGGGAGACGACCCTTTGATGATGAGGAAGATGAAATGGATATTAGTAACATGATCAGATCAATGTTTAAGTGAGATTTTTGTATTTCTGAGTGATATGCATATAACATTGAGTTTTTATGAATGATTATTCAAAACCTCGAATAATCATTTGTTGGACCATTTGCAGTTACAATCCCAAGAAGTTTGTTGATGATGATGATGATGATAATATGGAGGCAGGCTTTGATGAAATCATGAGGGAAGAAAGGAGGAGGTTTGTTTCTTTCAGATTAAAATTGAACAATGTGATATATTAATACGTTCAGTCTTGCTTTGAGTTGTTTATTAAATCGAACTCAAGCTAATCCAAAGTCTTTCTTTTTCTGATTTTGGGGTTCGAAAGTTGGCTTATAAGAAACTCCTGGCACTTAATGATGCTCAACCTTCCCTTTAGATTTTTTTCCCCATAAATCTACGGTTTCCCTTTCATTTGCCGGAGTACAAACTGTGTTACAAATCCTACTGTTGTCAATTAGTCATGTGCCTGAATGGCGTTTCTTTATAACAAGTTAGTTTTTTGGGTTGTCGATGATTTTGTGTAATACGCATGCAGTGCCAAAATTGCTAAAAGGGAGGACGAGGAACAACTTAGATTAATTGAGGAGGAAGAGGAAAGAGAGAGGAGAAGACGAATGGCGAAGTTAAAGAAACGGAAGCTTGGTGAGTAGTAATAGTATTAACACCAAGACCATCGTTTGGCTTCCGTAACATGTCATTGTTTTGGTATACTTTGGTATAATGGAAATTCCCGTATTCGAAGGGTAGTTTAATCATGGAATTAAATTATTCAATTCATCAATCAGAAAATAGAAAAATATTTGCCCTCACATTCAGGTTGTTTCAATTTGATATGGAAAATATATACCGTTGTGTAAACGTAGTTTCATTTTTAGTCGAATTAATGGCAGGGGTAGGGGGTGCATTGTATGAGATTTGGGGTTTTTGCACATTTATTGACCGTCATTATACCCAGTGCATTGATTGGAAAGGGAGATATTGTTCATCATTGTGTTGTGCTTCATCTATTATCTGTAGCAATTCTTATGTACAACGTAGTTTGTATTACTGAGTGTTGGTATGGTAGCTGCGCTCTATTCGTATCGGATGAAGGTGTTGAAGTTTGGATTTTGTACAGACTTCAAACTCCTGCATTAGAGGAATATTAAAGACTAGGTCATTTTTTTATAAAATTAAACACGGTTTCTGGTCCGTTTTAACGTTTGCACTTTTACCTTTTTTTAATATAAATAAAGAAATAGAAAAGGGTGGAACAAGTATAAATTAAAATCTTACGGGAAAAAAACTATGGTTTTAGTGGTATGATTTTATTTTTTCAATAATCTTAAAAATTATAATATTTTTTTAAAATAATAAATTTTATATGATAAAATAATAATTAATTATGCTTTCAAATATATATTTAAAGTATTTTATGCAATTTATTTATCACTTTTTTGTTGTTGTATGGGAAAGGTATTTTCATTTTATTTATTTATTTTTGTTTTTATTTCATTTCACACAATTAAACAAGGTTACGAGCATATATAGTAAGAAAGTGATGAAAAGTTGAATGGGCAAGTTATGACAGTGGTCCAGGGTGAAATATAAGTTCTAATAGTTAGAGTACCTTCTCGTCGTATGTTCTTCTACACAAAATTATGTTATCCTTATTTTTGTTACTAGTTGCCCTTCTTTCCTCAGCATTTCATCACCTCTTTCCCTCCTTTACAACCATCTTTCTTGTGTTTGACACTCCAAACACGAGAAGTTGGTGGGTAGTTAAATGAGAATACTCGATTCTTTCTTGTCTCATCTCATCTCATTTACTAGAGAATATTAGATCGAGTTGCACCAACTTTGAACTGCCATGAAAATATTCTACATATAGTGTCAACATTAAATCATCCTCGCAACATTGTCTATGATTTACATCCCAAACAAGAACAATTTTGAGACTAAATAACACATCATCATGCTACACTCTGGTATTAGAGATCAGAATTCACGTTCTTTCATCATCCTCACATGAAAGCGTGGCATGACTGGAGTTATAAGTGATGCTGCGATGATGTTTTATCAGTGATACTATCATTTAATTCTACGGTAATAATTTTTTCTGTCATAAAATTTACTATCATTCAAACTATTTATTTTAACTATTATACTATTTATAATATTTATTTTATTTTTAACAACTAAACTTCAAGATATTGATGCTGATATATAATTAATATTTTTTTATATTGCACTACTTTATTATCCATATTATTAGTTAATTAAGGAAAGTACGAAGCTTAATTAAAATATGATATTTTATGTTTGATTGGAAAATTTTGAAGATGTAGTCTAGGATGAGTGATGGAATACCAAATATAAAATAATAATAATAATTAAAAGTAAAAAATTGCAATTTAAATGATTTACATTGATATAAAATTTATGAAAGTTTTAAATTAATTCAAAGCTAACATTTTACATACTGAAAAAGATTACTTAACCGTTGTAATTTAAAAAGTTAGTATAATATCTTTCAAAGCAATATACTAACATTAGGTGTCAAAATAAAATTACATATATAAATTAGATATATAATATTACAGTCAAAATAAAATTGAGTAGATAAATTAACCATTTTATATCATATAATACATACAAATACAAAGTTAATTATAAATAATAATAAACATAACTCCTTTATACTTCTTTTAATTGTGTTTGTATATAAATTTCTAGTTCATAAAATATATTTATTATATAACCACATTTTTCAATAATAATAATAATATATATTATTATTATTATTAAACGCGTCTTATAATAATTATATTTTAAGATTTAGTGTATTTTTTTATAAAAACATTAGATAATCTTATAATATCGTTTTAGAAAATAATTTTGATTCATATGCCCTTCAAATATCAAATCTAATGTTCAATAAACTTTGTTATGTAGTCTTAAGATGGAAAATGGGGTTAAATCGATAGGCCTTCCGTTAACTCGTCAAAAAACATAGGATTGATGATTTCATCTCGTCAATCCGTTTTGATCGTCCCACCTGATCCGTTAGTATGTTGGATTAAGAATAAAATTTGAGTTAATTTTTTTATCGTTTAAAAAAATATTTATATATTAAAATAAAAATAAAAATATTATATTTGTTGTGTTACGTTTTTGAAATATGTGAATATATTATAATTTAAATTATAAAAATTAATCAATTAAATTTATATTATTTATTATAATTAGTTATTTTAATTTATAAATATAATAATTTTTAATTAATCTAATAAAAATATTAATTAATAAATAAAAACTTAAAAATTATTTATATAATAAAAATATATATTTTTAAAAAAATATTTATAAAAAAAAAAATATATATATATATATATATATATATAAAATGATTGAGATATATAATTTATTCTAATCATGACGAGTCAATTTGTTCCATCTCATCTTTGATAATTAAAAGTAAAAACAGATTATTAATAAGAGGTGAAAATAAAAATAACTTTTTTAAAGTTATTTTACTTAAATTAAAGTTAAATGAGTAGTTTGATCTACAAATTATTCATATTAATTTTCAAATTGTTTTTAATGGAGTACTTAATTTCAAAATAAGGCTTCTAAATTTAGATTATGAGGGGTTAAAATAATTATTTATGATAATTTTGAAAATTTATACAATTAAGGACCCAATTAAAACTTTTTTAGTTTAAAATTTATCTAAATATTCTCAAATAGTTGAAGGAGTGAATGAACAATATTTTCATGATAACTAAATAATTTAACCTTGAATTAATATAAGAAAAAATACCTTCCAATTTTTTTAACAAAGCATTTGTTATCTTATGAATAAAAAAGAAGCATTGGTGGAAAAATAATTATTGTTTAAAAAAACGTGATAATTAATTAACACCCTATCATCTCAGATCAAATACTTCTGCAAGTCGCATCGGGACTCCTGGGCTCAGTCGTATCATTTGATAGCGGAACCAAGCTCGTGACGTGTGTTGGCGACATCTCAATCCCATAATCTCAATCTCAAAGTGCGTTCATGATGGCCTCAATCTCTCTTTCTGTGTATATATATTTATTTATGAAATGAGTGATTAGTTGCTGAGTCAGGAAAGTGATTAGTGTGATTCCAACGAATCCACGATTTCAGCCACACTTTATCTCTTTGGCTTTGTTTCCTTTGTCCCATACCTTTCTATCCCAAACTTTCTTGTGGCTCTCTCCTTCTCTCAGATTCAATTACCCATTTTGTTTTTTACTCCTTAGATTCTCCGCCACCTGAACATTACCCATTTCATGCCTCACACCCGTACCCCGTTTTTCACTTAACCCTCACTCGCTTCAAATTCTACTGTAGACACGATACTGCTTTTGTTGATTCCTTTCGGATTCTTATAACTGAAACTAACTTTCTCTGCTGGTGGGTTTTGTTCCTTTTTCACTCTGCGATTCATCTGATTCTTTGGGCGCGGCTAGAGCCCGGTAAGATTCTAGATTTATCACAAATTCTAAAGTTAGTTTTTTTAATCAATCGCTGGAAATGGTAAGTGCCTTTCCTGATAATGCGTGTATGATCTGCCTTCATGTTGTTTGATTGAAAACTAATTTATGTTCCGCAACAGCAATTACCACATCACTTGCTTTTGTTTTGTTATTTTTGTAATGGCAATGCAATCCTAAGTAACTAAAATTGCGAGGCAATTTAAAGTCAAAAGAGAGTGGAATGTGCCATAACGTTTTAGGATCTGAACAACAAATTACTCTAATGAGCTTTCAGATTATTTTATCCTTTAATACTTCTAGAGATAAAGTGAAAAAAGGGCATGGACATATGTAGAGTGTATGTTGAGGGGATATGATATGTTGTGTTTGGCCTAATAAAGCTGGTGGAAGAAAATTATTGCTTTTCTGATTCTAAGCTATCCCATGTTGATGTGGTTATATACTTATATGCTTAACCATTCCTCTTAATTTATTATTTGTAAAATGTTAATGGATTTTCTCTTGCCTATCCTTTTATATTAATGAAGGCAAAGAGTTCTGTAAACTTTCAACTCATTTGCTGGATAGGATGGAGCATGTAATAAGCTGATTTTCTGTAGCTACAAGTGGTTGTTACATGCTTTATTTTCCATTTATATCGTTGAACAGGAACCAGAAACCCTGGTGTTTTGCATTTATGAAAATGTATCTCTCAGGATATTATAAACCACTTTGCCTTAGCATTTCTAGTGTGGTATTTGCATTGATGAAATAGCACACGTGATTGATCGATAAGGTACATAATATGCAAGAACTCATTTTTTTTCTTTTTGCATTAGCTATAGTCTCTCCTTTTCAAATGCAAAATTTTGGGTATGTTTTTCTACTCTTTGACGGTTGATGCTTCCCATCCTACACTTAATGCCTAGTTTGGTTTAGGGGTAGAAATAATTTTAGGTAGACAGAGTAAGTTGGTATTGTTTGGTTTAAGAGATTCAGAGAAGAATTGATTTGAAATTAGGATGATCCACTGTACTACTGTTACCTATTTTCACTTATCTCTCGATCTTTCTCCTCATATCTTTATTTTTTTAACCAAATATCTTCAACTTCTACTTTGTTTCCCAACCATTTCTACTCATTCTTTATATTTCCATCCATCATATTTCTTTCATCTCTACTAACCAAACCTTAACACTATAACTTCAAGGTGTAAATTCTTTGATTGAGAAAATAGAGGTTATGTATGGATTGATAAGTTATAATTTCATGAATTTGCGCTGTAATTCAGTCTGTTCAAATAAAAATCCTACTTGCTCTGCTGCAAAACTAAAGCTAATATTTATTGTTATGTCCCATATGTTTAAATGGGTTGTTTTCTCAAGGGTCATGTTAAACCATTTTATATATTCATGTTCATATTCTAAACCCTTTGTTTCCCACTTTCCTTCTTCGGAATTTATGTTTTACAGATGGGAGATGTGGCAAAGGACCTTGCAGCTGGGACTGTTGGAGGGGCAGCACAGTTGATATGTGGACACCCCTTTGACACTATCAAGGTCAAGCTCCAAAGCCAGCCTGTACCACTCCCTGGTCAGCTTCCCAAGTATTCGGGCGCATTTGATGCTGTCAAGCAGACAATAGCAGCAGAAGGACCAAGGGGTTTATACAAAGGTATGGGTGCCCCTCTTGCTACAGTAGCAGCCTTCAATGCTGTCCTGTTTACAGTGAGGGGACAAATGGAAACATTAGTGAGGTCCCATCCTGGTGCCCCCCTCACAGTGAATCAGCAAGTTGTCTGTGGAGCTGGAGCTGGAGTTGCTGTTTCGATTCTTGCATGCCCAACTGAATTGATCAAATGCAGGTTTGATGGTGTTTTTCTTGTCACGAACCTTTTTAATCTGATTATCTTTTTTTTTCCTTTCTATCACCTTCTATAGTTTTTTAGTGGTTTTGGAATTTTTTATTCCTTTTCCTATTATAAAATATAGCATGAATTTTGACCTAAACCACTAAAAATGCCAAAACCAGATTGGCATTAGAAAAGTAACAAATAAAGATTAGTCATTATTATTAACTTTCACTTTTAACTTTTCTTGTAACTTAGACATCACCATTGGTACTCCAAATATGTATTGATCTGATGTTTAACTTTTCTCATCCATGGTGAATACATCAGGTTGCAAGCACAAAGTGCGCTTGCTGGCTCTGAAACAGCTACTGTGGCTATTAAATATGGAGGACCCATGGATGTGGCCAGGCATGTTCTCAGATCAGAAGGGGGCATGAGAGGTCTTTTCAAGGGCTTGGTTCCCACTATGGGACGAGAGATACCAGGAAATGCTATAATGTTTGGTGTATATGAAGCATTAAAGCAAAAGTTTGCAGGAGGTACTGATACATCTGGCCTAGGCAGAGGTTCTCTGATTGTTGCTGGAGGCTTGGCTGGAGCTTCTTTCTGGTTCCTTGTTTACCCAACTGATGTTATTAAGAGTGTGATTCAAGTAGATGATTACAGAAACCCAAAATTTTCGGGTTCGTTTGATGCATTCAGAAAGATTCGAGCTTCAGAGGGCTTCAAAGGCTTGTATAAGGGTTTTGGTCCTGCTATGGCCCGAAGTGTTCCTGCAAATGCAGCATGCTTCTTGGCATATGAGATGACCAGATCAGCTCTGGCATGATTAATTCTTGTAGCAGGCTTAATATCAATCAAATTCTTGTGTTTCTTCGTTCCTTTTCCTTTTTGTTCACTAAACATTTTTATTCCATCCATTGACATAAAACCACACAAGCCCGTCTTCTGTTATTTGCTTCAATCAACGACCGATTCTTTTACGACTAGTAGTGCAAACACCCTTCAGTTTCAGGTGCCACATTATACTCTGAATAATACATTAATTAACATTGCTTTCAAGGGTGGACTATGAAGAGAAAATTGTCTGAGGAAACAGATACTGTATTCTGAATGCCCAATTGTCCAATTGGTCATCTCTGTGGATTGACTCATGCCATTCCAAATTTTTTGGAGCTTGGAAGTTGTTGTATGCATTTGTTGTTTTCTTTTATTCCGTGGACTCGATTAGTTGTAACAATGTAAAAATGCATAAGAGACTTTGAAAGAAGAAATGTGAACTAACTTCAGGAACGAAAAATTTTCGATATTATGTATAAGTAGAACTAATTATACAAGAGAAGTGTGATACGCATAACCAATACACAACCGAATCAATATTTTATTTCTAATGTTAGGATTTTGCTAATTTATATTTTATAATTACAATATTTTTTATTCTGTTTTGGACTGAACAATGTGACGTACCTTTGGTTTATGATCCAAACGTGTTGGAATTTCATAGCTATATGAACAATACTAAAAGTGTCTTATCAACTGATACTTCTCGATTAGACAATAATGATGTTTGTGGGATGGTTGAAAAATAATTTCATACTCGTGGACTAATCTAATTTTATATTGAGTTTGACAGAAAAAATTAAGTTCGCAAGACGGATAATATTATTTTTATTTTAAAAATTCAGATATAAGAAAAAGAACGAATAATATAATTTTTATCCGGACTTCTATTTAAATCTAAATCATAAAATATTAATATTTAAAAAAAATATTTATATTATATATGATTATTTCTTTTATATTTCATACTATTTTTTATTTATTTTTTGTTTTTTTTACAATTTCTTTGACCAATTAATTCAATATATTATTTTTGTTTTCTTTTAATTTTTATAATTTTTTCAATCTCTTCTCTCAACTTAATTTTTTAATCGTGACTAATTTGACAAATATAAAATTAATTTTTTATTTATTTTTTTAAAATATTTTACATTGATCTTAGTAACATATATTATTATTTTATTTTTAAATTATATTTATTGATTTTATTATATCATATTTTATATATATTTTTATTTTTTATCTTATATCAAATTTTATATTAATTAAATAATTATATTTTAAAATATTGTCAAAAATTGATATTACAAAATTTTATTACTTTACATTAATTAAATAATAATTATCTTATTAAATATTTTTCAATAAACTATATATTTAATATTTATTAACCTTTTAAAATGACAACTTAAAAAATAATTAATTTATATATTTAATAAAATATTTAAGTATAATATTAAGTATTCAAATATATTTTTATATGTATATTTAAATATTAATTAAAGTATATACTCAAAAATAATAACAACAATAATAATAATTTTAAAATGGTAAAACTACAAATATTTATTTATGTATAAAAATTAATATATAAAAAATGTTAAAATTAATTATTATAAATATAATTATTATTTTATAAATAATATATAGTAGAGACTATTAGATAACGAAAAAATCTAAAAACTAACAAAAGTAGATATAAAGACTTAATTTTTAATTCGAGGAAAAATGGTTAAGGAAGGAAGTCATTGTCATGTGTACTTGATGGGTGTTTTATATTTAAAAAAAAGTGTTTCAAGTGTTGGCAAAGAAAACAAATAACATATAAGGCGGGATCTCCTTTTCCTTTCTCTTAAAATACTAGATTTTAGAAATATTTCAAACAACATAAAATTATTTTAGACAAATAGTATTTAGATTTTGTTTCCTTTTATTTTCATTATAAAATAAAATTATAGATAAGATTATAAAAATTGTATAATTGTATCATAAAAATTAATTATGATGTATTTTTACATAAGTGTTACTAACTATTTGTACTTTATAAGTAAATTTTATATATTTTATTTCAATTTATATAATTTGGTATCAAAGTTTTAATTATTTTTTTTTTCATTTTGAATCTTTGGAAATTTTTCAAATGGAGATAATAAAATATCAATCATTTGTAATGAACTTATTTTAGATCATAGAGATGCATATGGCCGATAAGGGGAAATTCTTTTATATTCATGACAATAGGAAATTGCATGTATGCAGAGAAACAAAATGTGAAGAAATGATTATTGATATCCATTTTCTTACCAGTCCCAGGTACTCAAAAACACAATTTCTCATTCCTCACACCAAGTCGTTGTCTTCACTTTCAATATTCAATACTGACAGTAGGGACTGGAAAGGCACTACAATGCTAAAGTCATCAAAGAATAAATGATTTAATAAATGTAAAGGAATATAAAGAGTAAGAATTATTGCTTATTTGTTGTGCTTCAATGGGCCTTCAGTGTTTGTAATTACCAAAACATAAACAAACTCCAAAATTACTTCACAACATATCAATGTACTTTGTCAGAGAAGAAACAAATCATGAAACAACTATGTTGTTGTTGTTTATGGAAGTAATGACTTACTGGGACGCAGTAGATGTAGGGGGAGAAGTATGAGTTTTCCATCTTGGTTGTTTAAAGAGCAATTATGAGCGATTACAGTTCTATTCTGGGTTAGTCTTGCAACTTTCATGGTTGAAAAAAAGTGGTCCTTCTAGGTACGGGTTTGACTTTATTAGAGGGTAATGGTGGTTCTTATTGTTGCTGCCATGTTAATGGTGCTTTCTGGAGTTGGGTTGGGTAACTGTCACAACTAGCTATCTGGTAAGTTTGGTGTGTAAAAAGGTAAGCCTGGTAGTGTTTGGACGGTGAGGTAGAGAGTGGGAGAGATCAATTTGATTGGCCAAACAAAAAAGTTGAACCAACTCAAATCATACACTATTTAATTTAGAAGGAAAAAACACGTAATTAAATCCCCTTTTTTCTATCCAACATTGTCAACCATATGTCATTAAACATGACTCAAGTATAACCATCAATTGCTCATAATTCAATGGCAACTTCAAAATGGGATCGTATTCAAATTTGATTATTCTCATACATGATTTCTAGTATAAGAGATTTCAAAATCCACCCATCAACAATCATCAATATAGATATCCTTGTCATATAACCAACTAACCATAAACTCATTTTTATGTTACACAAATTATATTTAATACAATCAATTAATATTATTCTTTTTATTTAGTATAAAAAATATTTTAATTCAATATTTACTTTAAATAAACAAAAGATATAGAAATAAATTCATTAAATAATGCATTTATAGAAATTAGCTAAAAAAATTGTACGATTGATTAATTTTCTGCTATTATTTTCTAGAATTTAAAAATTGATAAAGTTTTATAAAGCTTACATTGTAATCCGACACTTACTTTAAAATGAATGGAGCATGTCTAACTGTGTCCTATAATTGGCTGAACGTGGATCAGGTTAGTCCAGGTACGCTCAAAACAAGAAAATTCCGATTTTTTTTTCTCCAAATTGCAGAACATTTTGCATTCTTTATCGTAGAAAATAAAATAAAACCACAAAATCATACTCAATTAGTTCTCAGACCATTCCATTTGTGTTCACCTTCGTATTCACTGATCTGATACAGATACACACCACACCAGCAGAAAAAAAAAAAAAAAACTTTTTTATTTTCAAAATTACTCTTCTTGAGTTCCCAACTCTCTCTCTCTCTCTCACACACACACACACTACGCCACTCACTACTCTCTGCGCTCGCGATGGACCAAACGCACAGCTTCGACGCAGAGCAGGATCCGACCGAGACGCACCCGACCCGTCACCACCTGGAGCCCCCATCCGGGTTGACCCCCGAGGAGTTCGCGGACCTCAAATCCTCTATCATGGAGCACCACACCTACTCCATGACCGCGCGCCAATGCTCCTCCCTCCTCGCCCAGCGAATCCACGCGCCGCCGCACACTGTCTGGTCCGTCGTCCGCTGCTTCGACAACCCCCAGGCCTACAAGCACTTCATCAGGAGCTGCCACGTCAAGGAGGGTTTCCAGCTCGCCGTGGGCTGCACTCGCGACGTCAACGTCATCTCCGGGCTACCGGCAGCCACCAGCACAGAGCGCCTCGACCTCCTCGACGACGACCGTCACGTCATCGGTTTCACCATCGTCGGCGGCGAGCACCGCCTCAGGAACTACCACTCCGTCACCTCCGTGCACGGGTTCGAGCGCGACGGCAAGATCTGGACCGTTGTTCTGGAATCTTACGTGGTGGATGTCCCCGAGGGAAACACCGAGGAAGACACGCGTCTCTTCGCTGACACCGTCGTGAAGCTCAACCTCCAGAAGCTCGCGTCTGCTACTGAAGGGATGAACGGTGATGCTGACGGTGACCGGAACGGTAGGTCATAGCTTGGGCCACCCAAACCCGAATAAAAAAAGGGTTCAAATTAAAAAAAATATATATATATATATATATATATATATATTTTTTTTTTTTTAATTGGGAGTCTTCTTTATATTTTTTTTTTTGGCGAACCTGCTATTCTTATTTTTATATTTTACTATTTGGAATTACTAATATACCCTTTGTTCCTTAGGGACTGGAACTAGTTTGACCGTGTGAAATAAAGTAGTTGTGTCTTAACTTGTAATGTTATTCTGTGGAGGTTGATTTGTACTGCGATTGTGATTCTGATTTCATTCCTGTCCTTTCTTGTCAATTCACTGTCCATTTTCGTTTTTATGCTTTATTTCATCGGATTATCCTTTATCTTCCTGGGAAGTAAGTTTTGGTTAAAGTAGTTGATTAAACAGTTTCGTTCATTAATTACGTAATTAAATCGTTTATTTAATTTACCGTTCACTGCAACAAATAGGTGTCACTTGACTCGCGCTGTGATTTTTTTTATTTTTTCTCTCGCAAGTGCAATCTCCATAATAAGATTCTTACCGTAAAAGAAAAAAATCCGTATTAAGAATATAAGATGTTCGATAAGATTTTTTTTTTTTTAACTTTGTATATTATTTTATAATATTTGAAACAGAGTGTAAGTTGTGATACAGTTTATCAACTAAAGTTGTATCGTTTAAATTTGAATGAAACAATTTTTTTAGTTTTTTAATCTTTTTTAGAGTTAATTTAATATTTTGAGTTTCTAAAGTGATTCAGTGTGAATTTTTCCACCACATGTATTATTTTCAATATAAAATTATTTTAAAATAATTTTTTTTATGATTATTATTTGGTAAGTAAAACACAATTTGCTCACCAATTAAAATAAACAAAATTGCTATGAACACTTTAAAAAATAATTTAAAGATTGACGACATGGTTTGGACAGAATATTAAGGTCACTCCATCACACGGCTTCCAACTTGACAACCTTGGACGCATTGATCACCAACCAAGTTCCGATAAATTAATGTGAAACAAATTGAGGTTCCCGCGTTTCTTCTATGATCAAAAGTTTGATGTGGTTGTATTAGACCAATCTTTACGGTGTAGATTGAGACGTATTTTGGGGTTTGTTCAGGGTTTTCAAAGGTATAATTATTAACATTTTTTTTATTTTCTTCTTTTCTATTTCTCCATTCCTTCTCTCTTCTACGGTTGTAGAAGTAGTAGCACTCTCTTTGATGTATTTAAAGCTAAACAAGTGTTTCTAAAAATCATTTTTTAACCTGGTTGATAGAGTCTCTCTACCATTCGATCAACCTATTTTTCCTTTTTCTCTTTCAGTAAAGTGGCACCTTCAGTTTCGAATCCATATCCAAATCAGGGATCAAATATCTAATCTTAATTAAAAAAACCTAATTATGAGACCAGTTGTGTAAAAGCATATCTTCAACAAGAATATCTTAATACGTTTTGTTTATATTATTTTAATCAAGTTCATGAATATGAATTTATTGAAAATTGAAAAGAGTTCCATCTTAAGATCTTTATTGGGAAATGATCTAACAACAACAAATTATTTTTAATTATATTTTTTTCCATTTCTTTCTCAATATCGAAAGTTTACGCACAACTTCTTTATTATTTTCTATTATTTTTTATACAAATTTCAAATATTTTTTATAAAATATTGTACAAGTTAGTATTAAATATATAAATGCCGCAATTCTTTTTGTTTGAAAATTCCAATATTTTTAAGAGTATAAGAATATGTAGTTGGTATGTCTATAACTAAACTTGATTATCTCAAGTAATATTTTTGGATTCAATATTTTTAGATAAAAAATATGATTATAAAAAAATTGATTAGGTAACACGTTGAACCAATAATATAATCATTTACACATTAGTTTGTTTTAAAACATTTAACACTCAAAAATAAATATTAATTATTTCATAAATAAAAAATGTATTAGTATTTTACCTAACGTTGAATCATTGAAATCTAATTTTTAAATAGAGATATTTGAATAAAAAAAGTTTTCTCGTAAAAGTTGATTCATTTAGTAAATTTCTGAAGATATATGGTTTGCTTTAATAAAATTACCGAAATGTGATTGGACAGATTTTTGTGGTACAATGTTGTTGTTGGAGAGATTAAAGAGCGGCAACATATTGACACGTATATTGGACCTAGATGATTTCATTTCTAGTATTGACCAGGATCCATCTTCTGTATTTATATGGAAAAAACAAAATGGATTAATCAAAAGGTCTAAGTGCCACACCAGAAAAAAAAAAAAAAAAAGAACATGAATAATAAATTTGAAGCAGAAAAAAATTATCCAAACATGTGACTCGGACCTGCCTTTTAGGTTTATATCCATACAAGCTTTGATCGTGAGTGAGTAGCTGAATCGGTGAAAGCTAAGAGACAAGGGGACGTAAAAAATTGAATTTAATATTTGTGAAATATTGGTTTATTTTATGGAAAAGAAAAGAAAAAAATTGGTTCTAGAATGCAGAGCATAGTTGATGATGAGATTGACAGGGTTGTTCCGTCGCACAATGTGCGGTGCGCAGACAAGACAACGCAGTTGGAGTGAGTGAAACAATGATTAGAATCGATGCTTTTTGTTGAACTTGCACGTTTTCCCTTCCTCCACTCCATTCACACAATGCAATGAAGATTTTTGGTATATTTGTGATCTGTCAATTCTTTTCAAACTTTTATTTTGTCAATAAAAGTTTATTACCAGAGGTACTGGTACCTCATAAATCTAACATCATCTAAGATTAAGAGATCAAAAATAACTTTCTTAAGGGTTAATTTAGTAATTTTCATATTATCATAAATAAAATCAGTTTATAATCATGTAGCTCAAAACAAAAGAAAATTAATGGCAGAATAATAAGGTGAATTTATTTATATATATGTTATATCCAGATATATAAAAGACACTGCTGTGACATTTAATTTTTATATAGAAAGACTTCTTCTACAAATTCTTTCGTTAATTAACATATAAAACTGTTATTTGTTCTGATTTTGATCCGTTCCATCTTTCATATGTCTTAATAAATCTTATATCCGTTAAATAAATAAAAAATTTATTATATTTATCTATCAAAATAATTAATTATAATTAATGATTTAAATTTAATTAATTATTTTTTATAATTTAAATTATAATATTATAATATATTTAGATATCTCAATAATATAAAAATATATATAATATTTTAATTATTTTTATTTTAATATATACATATTGTTTTAAAATGGGTAACTACATCTTATTCGACCATTGATCTTCTATATTGGAGATTGGACAAAACTGACAAACTAAAATTAATAAATTTGTCTAACAGTTGGGCTTAACCATCCTTATCTTAAATTAATTTTTCTTTTCATCCAAATATCTTGGAGAATTTTATATCATTTTTGGTCAATAACTAAATGTTATGAATTAATAAGTTACACCACTCTTTTTCTAGTGAATATTAAGAAAGATGGTTACAGTAATTAATTAGTTAGGTTAAAAGTAATTAAGTGAAAAGAGTGAGATGATGAGTTCAACCAATTCTAAAGATAATTTTGACAAAAGTTTTACTCACCATTAAGATCTCTAGTTAAGGAAGTTAGAATATTTTATATTTAGTTTCATATTAAAAATACATTAGAAATTATAAAAGATGTATATTAATATATATTTAACAAAAACTTTATGTTTTCACCTTTTCAATAAGTATTTCAAGTTAAGTCCTTATTATTTGGATGAGAAAAAAATAACTAATTTAACTTTTATTTTATCTTATGCTTATAACAAAATTGTGATTAATTGATACTTTAAATAAGTCACCTACAACTAAAAATATTAATATCAATAATCATTATTATTACTAGCGAAAACATACATAAAATATTATTATTATCATTTTATAAAATAACATGTTTTTATTTATTACTTAAGATGAGAAAGAAAATTTGAAGAAAACTAATAATTGAGGAATGTTTTAAGAAAAGATAAATGGCATGTAATTGAGGGTGTTCGAAGAGAAGAGAGAAATAATGGTTTTAAATTAATTAATTTATTAATTATATTGAAGAAAATGAAAAAAATATAAGAGAAAAAATGTAGAATAATCAAAACATTACATGTCTTATTCTAAATTACTTTATATTTAGAATAATTTAATAATTACTTTAAAATATTACTTTATATTAAAAAAATTTAGAATAAGGCACATATAATTTATTAATAATATATAAACAATAACACTAAAAAACTAACTATAAAAAAATTACTTTATATATTACTATAAATATTTGTTATATATTATTATAGATAATAAGGCACATAGTTATAGTTTGATTAGATATGGATATGGATCAAATAAATATTATTCTCATAAAAAAATCAAATTTTCAAAATATTAATTTAGTTTAATTTAAAATTTATATTAATTTAAAATTAAATCAAACTATATTAAAGTTTTATGATAGATAGACTATTTTCTAAGAAAAGCCCAAAAAAAAACTAGATTACAAATTCTATTAATTAGTTCTCAAATTTATTTATTTTGTATGATCTCTACATTTAATTTAATTGACAAAAATCTAATTAAGTAGGGGTACTCCGTTGAAGAAAGAAAAGTATTTCAGGAACCAAAGAAAATTTTCAAATATTTCAGAGAATTAATTCATGAGTATACAAGCTACTGTCAAGTACATACGATATATTTTCACCAAGTTTGATTGGAAAACGGTGATGAAAGAAAAGAACATAATTGGTCAGATATTTTTTCCATATACGACAATCATGTTTTCTTTAATTGTAACTAGTCTTACCTGACACATTTTTAAGATAAAAAAAAAATTGTAATTTTCTTATGAATAATGGGTGAGCATCATTTACATTTTATGTTCCCTCAAATTAAGGTCCATGGGAATGAAATACAGGATATATTGAGGTGTAAATAGATGTATCTGAATCTTTTCAGATCACCTTTCAGCTTACAAAAATACTTGCAAATTGCCTTCCACATGGTAAAAAAAAACAGTCCAGTTCAAATAATTTTTTCTATAAACCCTCTGGAAAAAAACCTAATAAATTTATATGTAAAGTAATTTATAAAAGCTATCTTGTATTAGTTTTTTTAAATATTGATTATAGATTTTATATAAAAGAAACATTTTTCCTTTTCTTATAAATGTTCATAAAGAATTTTAGCCAAACATGCTAAAAATCTATGAGACCTTAAAAAATCATGCAACACATAACCTAGTAGTGCAGGACAAACACCAGAAACCGCCATGTTTAATTGATGTTCAAATGCTGAAGAAATCTTGTTACAAAGTAACTAATGGGGCAATGATTCAAAATGAGAAATCTAAAAATAGAAGCAATTTCAAAAATTCAGGTTAACGCAAAATTTTCAAAAGACTGAACATGTAGGCAATATACACAAAGACTCCCGCAGAATAGCATGTTTGTCTCTATAGTTCAGGATGTATGATGACAGTAGCAAATGGTGAGACAAAGTTGAAAACAGACAAATAAACCAAAACGAAGAAGTTGCTTAGTCTTAGTAACATAAGGGTTATTCATGAGAAGATAAAAAAATTGTCTAGCCTTTTTATAATATAAAACTTAACATAAATGAACTATGATTTATTCTCTCCCCAGCTGCTATGAACATGATGCTGCCATTCCTATTAAATAACCAATCTCTCGGGACAACATAAAAAATTATTTCAAATATAATTATTTATAAGAACACCTGTCCAAAGCAAGAACAATCAATTTGCTCAAAATCAGTGAGCAGTGACTTTTCTTCTCTAGAGACATCTCAAATAATGTCAGTCAACGCAATATTTCCGAAACAGCCATTAACAAAATTAATTGACTCAAGGCATGAAAAATAATCCTGAAGAAGCAGATATCTTTAATTGCAAATCACTTGGAATCAAGTATAAGATCAATACTTAGAAATATCTTCCACAATAAAAATAACATGAAACTAGTGATGCATTTAACGTGCAATCCATCATATTACAAAAGAACATGACCTACCCTACATAACAAATATATTGTTTGTAAACCTACTTCCTTTCATGTTACACCCCATTCTTCCATCCTACGGCTCCTGCCCAACCATCCAATTGAGTTCCTGATCTTTATTATAATGCCTAATGTATGAAACTTGTAAAAGTTAAAGGATTGCAGCCATTATGGCCATCAGCAAAAGAGAAAAAAGGGAAATGAAGACAATTGAGCAGCCAAAAACTATACCTTACAATCTTACAACTTGCTTCTTCTATACATACCAATGAACAATGTTTTTGTAAGAATAAAGATCAGTTTAGTTAGAAGGGAGCATCATCTCCAATGAAACATGAGGCTAAAATTAAGAAGGCTATTTATTGATCTCACCACCTAGGACTTGTGATGGGGAAAAAGCCTGAAGGAGACAAAGGCAACATCCCCGGAGAAAGGGGAGGCTGCTGCCCGGGGCCCAAAATCCCTGACTGTCCAAAGGGCGAGAAAGGGAAATTGGGAGTAAAAGGAGATGGAAACTGAATGCCAGGGGACAGAAGTGAAGGATAAGCAGACTGAGGGGACAGGAAATTCATGTAGCCATTTGGTGAAGGCAAGAAAAACTGTGAGGTTGGAGAAGGTACAATAGGAGGTCCATTTGTTTGTGGGGAAGGAACACCAGGCACATGAGGAGGAGGAAGAGGGTTTGTACCATTCACAGACACAAGAGGACCATTTAATCTTTGAGAAGGAAGCATAAGATGATTAGGAAACAAAGCAGAAGGTAGTTGAGGTTGAACTTGACTACCCTTTGAACCTGGATCTGTTAATGAATGTTCAAGGTATCTCATGTAGGCAGAGATTGGTGACTCAGCTGTATTGGCCTGTGGAAAAGGGATAGGTGATGGTTGTCTAAACTGAGCAGGTCTAGTAGCCAAGGTGTTGTTATTGTAAGGAGCAGGCAATGGAGGTCTCACATAAGGTAAAGGGGGAGGTTTAATCTTCTGCAATCTCATGTTCTGAGGTTTTGGGGAATTGTTCTGAGGAGGTTTTGATTGAGGATCCTGAGAGGGTGACCCAGTAAGCTGCTGAACAATATCCCTGAACTCATTCTTGCTTATGTTGTAAACCTGAGGCTGAGGCTGAGGCTGTTGCTGCTGTTTACCCCCGTTGACGTTGTTGCCATAATTGGGCTGGTGTAAAGGACTCTTTCTAATGTTTTTTCCCATTTTGTTCACACCCAAATTGTCATTATACCTGTTTTTTGAGTTATCCATTTTGCTATAAATACAGACACTCAAATTCAGAAACTTTTGCAGGACAACCTGAAACTTGAGAGCTTAAAACAGATACACCAATCAGAAAATCAACCTCAGAGTCAAACTGGACCTTGATCGTTATTGATCATAGAAAAAACACCCCAAATGAACCCGAGAGAGAGCAGAGAACATACCCTTTTGGGAGGATTCACACAACCAAAGAGGAGGAAACTCTCACTAGATCGAATGAAGACGGGGTTTCAGAGCTATGGAGATTAGATTTGAAAAAGATTGAGGTTGCAATCGTAATAATGAGACTTTGAAGAATGGCAAGCGTATAAGAAACAAGAAGACAGAGAAAGACAGAAAATCTTATTTTATTTCTTAGGAGTTTTGTGTTGAGTCAGCTGTGGAAAAGGGAAATGACATGGAAGGGTTTTTAGAATGTGAAAACATGACGGTAACATAGATAGAAACAGTTCCCCAATCACATACTAATTTAGAGTAAAATTTTGAACTTGAACATATTGACCATTTCCCTGTTTCATAAGTGCAAAAATGCAATATAAACTGATATAGGGTTAATTGGTCCTAGTAATGAAGTCTTAAAATCCATTACACACTCTGGTCACACGTTTACATGCGTTGGTGCTCAAGTCAAGTTATCAGTATTGGATAAAGAATTGTAGAGAATACAGAAATAGATGAATAATTGAGCTTAAATTAAAAGGATACAATTTGAGTTCATAAGAAGTTGTGGTTCTGAATAGTCAATTTCTTTTAAGACGTTATACAACTTGACTTGCAGTTGTAGAAATTTTCATGCTATGTGAATGATATAAAATGTTGATTTCACTGGACTGAATTAATATTTAATTTTATTAACGATGATTGTATTCAGGTTACACTGCAGAATAAAATTATATAAATAATAAATATTAAAACGAATGGAAAGAGTGTTTATTTAAAGCTATAAAAGTTAATTTTAGAATATATTAATTGAAGGTACCTTTGAAAATGAAAATTATAACGTGTTAATGGCCAACTACAGCAAGAAAGACTTGGTCAGACAGCGGAATCAACTCTTGTTTGGGTGTTCAGTTCAATTTTGACTTTTCAGTGGTGGATTGATTTTGGGAGATAAATTCTTTTATCCTAATAATATATATATATATATATATATATATATATATATATATATATATAATAATTCATTAAACTTTAAAGTAGTGAAAAGGGATATTAAAATAGTTAAAGAGATGGGTCGCAAGTAAAGATTTAAAAATAAATAACTAGTTTAAAGAGAGTATGAAAGCAATAATTAAAAATGAAAAAAAAAAGTTAACCAAAAAACATATAAGTTTGATTGAAAATATCTTAATTCAGTTAAACAAATTTATAAAGCCAGTAAAATAAATTAGAAGGTAATTTATAAGCAAACAGACTCAGTCTGAGGGATATATTTTAGATGTTTTGTATGGATTTAAATTTATTTTATTTTTTTAATAAAATTAGTTTCCGTATGAAAAGATGTTGTAATAAAGTCATTATTTTAACTGAAAAAAATGAATGAATATAATATAACACATGGTAATAGAAGAATGTATAATACACCAAACGCCCAAACTGTTCAGAGTAAAGTTTTGTCCAAACACGGCGCAATTAGCAGCCCAGCCGAAGTTGGTTTTAGACAAAGTCCAAACTTTGTTCGTGCTTTTGACTTTGGAACATTCGTATCTTATCACAAATCATTATTTTAACCCTGAAATCATTGGAAATTATTATTATTTTCTGATTTTCTGCGGCTGATGTGATTTCTTTTAGAAATTTTCGAATACATTCATCCATCCATTCTTGGGTTTTAGAATGGTTGCGCAATTACATTATTTTCAAAATTTGTTAAATGAAGTCTATGGAATGCTGGAACATATGATCATCTCAATATATAATATAAGAGTTTTGATTTTACAAGTTTATTCAATTCTTATTTATAATTTTTCTATAAGATATTATATATTTTTTCTCATCTACCTCTTTTTTCCTCTTCATTTTTTATTCCTCAAAGTAAAAAAAAATATTTGTTTCGATGCATAACTAGAAAAATAAATTAAATGATTTTTTATAAATTTTAAAATTAACTTATATAAGCTGACAAATATTTTTTAAAGAAGATTATATGAAACTAAAATCCATACTTTGGTTTAGTTTAAGAAATTATCACAACCTGAACACAGCTTCACATTTTTCAGTTTCTTTTGCAAGTGCATTCAGGGTTTTTGCACTTTTTCAAATTTTGGGTTCCCAATTATGATAGCGCAGGGACACAACAACATATAACTGGTAACAAAGAAGGTCCTTTCTTATTTACTGCACCTCCATAGTTTCTTTTTGTATCTTCATACTTTAAGGAAAATAATTAAAATATTCTTTTCAATAATTATTGTTTCATACCTTAACCTCTTTTTTTATTATTTTCCAGCAAAAATTATGCACTTCCATTACTCATCTTCTACATCTTCATTGATATGCAGTTTTGATTTTTTTCTATCACTTTCATTCAAAATCATTCTTAATATTAAAAGATAAGTAATAATTAATATTATGTATTTATTATATATTTATACACTAAAATTATATATTAAGGTCAGGTTACTCGATCCGAAATAATTTTAAAAAAATTATATTGAATTTTGGAATACTCGGATTGATTTTTCTAAAAACCTACTCTGGAATACCTATTTCTAGAATACGTTTGGTAAAAATCAATCTAGAAATTCATTCTAAAAAATATTCAAAATTTCAGAAATATTTTTCCAAAATTAGGTTTTGAAAAAAACTTCCAAAAACATATTTCGGAAAGCGGATTTTAAAATATATTTTTAGAATTGATTTTCAGAAATAAATTTTGGATTGGTGAGTCTAAAATATACCTCTAAAATATATAATATAAAATTACGAAGATGAAAGATAAGTATAAAAATAAAATAGGATTTAATTTAATTAAGGAGTACAATAAAAAATTATGGAAATATAAGAAGAAAGTGACAAAAAGCATACTGGTCCAATGAAACCAGGCCGATATAATACATTGATCCTCACTCTATGGGCTTAAAAGGGCTTGCAGTTTTTTAAGCCCAGACAAAATAAAATACAACTCGTTAACTTACTAACTCAACATCTAATTACCTATCAATACACTAATTTATTTAGCTTAATCTAATTCTTAAGTCCGGTGCAAAATTAATTTATCATAATTTTATCAAACTAAAAATAAATAACAATAACAAACAAAAATTGAAATATTTTATTTATTTGTGGTGGTGAAAAAAATTAATAATAATCTCTTACAAGAAAACGAAGGGCAATGGAGACATATTTCACTTGCACTTTTATTATTATCCAAACTAAAACTCTTGTACATACCTTCTTGCTAGAAAATAGTAGAGATATAAAACGTTAGTGGTATATATTAATTAAATAAATTAAAATATTAGTTGTTTAAACTCTCTTTATTCACTCCAATACAGTTTTTTTTCTCCCATTCTCCCTTCTCCTTTTTAGTTCAACCATGGATTCTAATAATATATACTTAGAAGATATATATTATCCATAGAACATATTATTTTAATATTTTCTACAATTAATTTTTTCACTAATTATATTTATGACATGATTAATCCTATTTTGTATTTTTTCTTATGTAATATTAAGCTAATTTACAAGTATGAAACTCTCTTTAGACAATAGATCTGCGTAAATATAAAATAGTGAAACTACTTTAAAGCTATTAAATTAGTAAAGTCATGTAAACCCTATTTGATACAATTTTTAGTAGATTATTTTTAAAAACAATTAAATATTAGAAAAATCATTGAAATATTTGCAAGTGTATTTTTATGTAAATATTCATATTAGTACTATGGATATTTAGTATGAATCCAAAATTCAATTTTAGATAAAATATTTTTATGTAAATACGTAACATTTGAAATGGAGGAAAACATTTCATATATAAAAATATATTACATTGGATCCTTAGATCCTCAGATTTAGGATTATTTAATTTAATTTAATTTAATATTTCATTTTTTAAAATAGGTTTAGAGATAATTAAATATATATATATATATTTATTTATTTATTTATTTAAAAATAAGTTGATAAAAAATATGTAATAATTTAATTTTATTTAAAAATAAGTTGATAAAAAATATGTAATAATTTAATTTTAATATATATATATATATATATATGAACGATCATAAAAAATGGTGATTAAAAGTTAAAAAAATGATAATTATATAATAATGAAAATGAATTATTTAATATAATTATTAATAAAAAAAACTTATATTATTAATGAAAGTATAAAATAAAAAAATGTTTTAAAGAAATTAGAAAATAACAATTTTTGAAAAATGTATTGACAAAACGCATGTCAAATAAATTTTTAAAATTTTAAAAGCTAATTATTTCTTTTTATAATAAAACAATAAACAAACATGTTGTTCTCACCTCACATGTCTTATCATTCATTCAATTACTCTGACAGTAAATCTTCATTGTTGTATTACTAATTCTCCCATCAAAATGGCAAAGCACAAAATTAACTTCACTGTCATGTCAACATCTTGATTCGTACCCTTATCTTAGAGCTTATTTGTTTGTTTTCAAAAATAATAAAAAAAATCTGTATTTTAGTTTTTTAAAACTAAATTGTATGATACTTTGTTTATAATTTTAAAATATAATATATTTTTTTAATTTTAAAACTAAGAAATTAAAATTGATAAAAAAATGTTTTGTATATTTTTTTCATTAATGTTTACCTATGTTAGATTAGATCACTTGTCTTTATTATAAAGTTATTACAATTATTTTATAATTTTCGCTACCATTTTTTGTCATTATTAATGTTATTTTTGTTATCAAAATCAAAATTATCAATTGAGTTTTTCTGAATTGATTTTTTTAAATCGATCTATCAAATTATTTTTAAAAATAAAAAATAAAAGTTAATCGAACAAAAGGATCAGTATTTCTCTACCATTGAATTCCATCATATCATATATAAATGTTGTAAAACATTTTTTCCACCAATATTACTTACTTGTATTAAAATAAATTTTAAAAATTGATTTATAAAACTATTTTTAAAAAATGATAAACAAAAAACTAACTAAAACAAACCTCAATCTTTCTCTACCATTGAATTCAATTATATAAACGAAGAAACACATTTTTTTCCCCAATATTACTTACTTTATATTAAAATAAAATATTTAAAAACTTTGATATAACTATTACACTTCAAATAAAAACAAAACAAATTATTTCACTACATAATTGTTTTCACACAAAATATTTTATTTAAAATCAACTTTAACATAACTTCCATGCTTTAAATTTAATTTTTAACCAAAAATATCAAAATTAATTTTACGAATTGTAAAACAAACTTAGTGTTGTTCCTATATTTTCGAAATTAATAAATCAGTTTTAAAAATTTTAAAAATATATGAATTGAAGTATTCTTTTCACATGGTTGAAGTAGAAAAGAATTATACTTAAATTGAAATATAAGTAATCACTAATTTTCATGTTTTGAAAAGTTGAAGTGATTCAATTTTGAAAATCCGGACACTGAAACTAAATTTGACAAATACATAGATTAAAAATATGTTTTGTATTAAAGCGCTGAAACATAAAAAGCAAAAGTTGTTGAAGCTGAAAGGCAGCTCCGAATTCGGTGTTCGTTGCTAATATACAGCTTTAAAGAGAGAGCACCTGACTTTTAGTTCCTCTTCTAACGGTGGACTTGTTTACCACAGTTATTCATGTTGGTGCATTTGGAGTGATTATGCATGCTTCCACGAACACGCACATGCCAAAGAGCCTAGTACATAGCCCTCTTTGGGACAAAGGAGAATTGAACACCTCTGTTCTTTACCTCAAATCCTCCATGCATGTCCAGGATGTTTCCTCTGTTGTGTTAAAGTAGGTAGGTGAAAAAGGTCAAAACTTTATAACTTAACAGAATGCCAGAACCGGGAACGATTGTGTGAGTTAGTGAAAACCTTATTCACCAGAAATAATAATCGAGTTAGAAACTTCAACTTATTCACTCAAACAACGTTTTAAAACCACCAAACTGGTAAAAACATTCGTTTTAAATTCATTCATGGTTCAACAGTAATAGATATTAATAAAATAACAACAATTTATTATTAAATAATAATAAAAAAATGTATCAATCATCAACAAAGAGGTATGAGGACCAAGAATTTTGTAAGGTTATGCATTTTTCACATGGCTGAAAAAGGGGCCACCTACTTGGGCAGGTACATGATTCCTCTGCTAGGAAGGACACAAGACAAAACGCCGCACTGTTCCCAGGCACGTTTTCTTTGTCCTTTTGTTTTGGCTCCATTTCACCACACAAAAATCAAACTCTTACCATCATAGATCAGACAACAAATACACATTGAGGAATCAATAAAAAGATTACGACTTCAAGAAAAATGCCCATTCTGTAGAGGCAGATATACAATAATAACATGATAGATATCACGCAACTACTGGCAAGCCATCATGGATTTAAGAAAAATACCCAGAAATTCCTGTAAGTTCAGTTCACATTTATGATAATTGATGAACATATATACAATCTAAATAAACAGATAATATTAACACAAAAATAGTCCACTTCTATTTCAACAGAGCTGCTACCTATCTCCCTGCAGATTTGCAGAAAAACTGTTCCCTGGTCCATTCAGCTTCACAAATCGAATTACCTCAAGAATTGAATTTACCCTAAGCTACCCAAAAAAGAAAAAAAACACTATTTGACATGGACAGCTACAACTACAGGTACTGCTAAAAATGGTAGTGCACATTATCGTGCATCGTCTATTTTGGACGAGAGCGCCGACAGGAGCTGTTCTTGCGTGTAAAATCGGTTTCCCATGTTGACCGTGGCCTGTTGGATCATCAAATCATTCACCACGGACACGCTGGCGTGATGCACGTCCAGGTCCAGGTCCTTCAACGCCGCCATCAACCTTGCCGCAGGGTGGTTCTTCTTGCTGCATTGGATTCTTATCATCGCGTCCCAGCCTATGATCTTCACCTCTACCTCCAAATCAATGAGCTTGCTCGTCGTTTTCTTCTCTTCTTTATCAGATGGAGGTGGTCCAGGTGGAGGAGGAGAAGAAGGGGTTTTAGTTGCCAGGTCAAGCTCCTTCTTTGCCGAATCCAATTGCTTTTCCAATTCCCCTTTCTCCGATTCGAGCCCATTCAGCTTCGACTTCAGCTCGTTTATGTAGGATATGGCATCGCCCAAGAGTGATGCCTTGTCCATCTTCGACACGTTGGGAACCACCGCACGAAGCGCGTAGAACCTTTGATTCAGCTTTTCTCTCCTCTGCCTCTCCGCTTCCACGTGATTCAGCGGCTCATCTCTGCCGTTCGCCGGCTTTCGTCCCCTCTTCCGGGGCCGTTTCTCGGGTTCCACCACCCTGCTGTCCGCTTCTTTCACCACGGAAGCTTCCAGATCCGAGTGATCGGAATCACCGCCTCCAGAACCACCACCGCCTAATTTTACATTGGAGGCCGGCAGGATAATGCCGGAGGTGAAGGACAGCATCCCATCGTCAATGCTACTGCGAGAAACAGGAGACCTTCTCTTCTTGTTGGTCTCCTCAGCTACAACACCGGGGAAGTAACTCCCATTGTAAGAGCTCTTCTTGCTCTCTCCGAAGCTCAGAATTTCACCAGATACGGGTTTTAAGGAGTTGGAGAAGTTCAATTCCCTCGGGAATAAACCCTGGCTCTTCGGGTTGGGGACGCGAGCAGCAGCGGTGACAGCACTAGGGGTTTCCGTTAGAGTACTTGAACCAGGGGTTTCGAACGGCGTCGTTTTGCCAGCTGTTGCATTCCCTGAAGCGGGAGCAACGGCGTTAGAGGAGTCCTTTATTTCCAGACTGGAAAAAGGATTGAGCCAGAGCGAGGAAGGGTCGTTCTCTCCCTGATCGGTGGCAACACAATTCAACGGCCATGAACCAGCCTCTGGGTTGTTGAAGTTGAACAAATCCCGCACTTTGTTCATCAGATCAGAGTTCTGGAAAATCACCTCCGTGGAGGCCAGCTCAACGACGCCCTTTGCGGAGGGTATGCAGACCAGAGTCTGAAGTCCAAATACCTCGCTCTGGCGGGCCCGCTCGCAGACCGATTCGGATAACCGGTCTGCGCCGGCGACCCAAACCGGGCTGGAGTTAAAAAATGACTGGCCCGGGAGGCCGCTGCCGTTGAAAAAAGACTGAGTCATGGACACTAGAAAAAACCATTCAGTGTCAGTTACCTCTTCGTCTACGTCATCAGCGGAAGCGGAAGGACCGGAAATCAAGGAATTGAGTTCCCGGAGAACCTTCTTGCGGTGGTCCTGCTCCGAAGACGACGTCGCTTTGGGGACTTTGCCTTTTCCTTTGTCCTCCTCGCCCTTGTAGTAGCCGTCGCCCCAACCAAGAAGGGTAGTGCCGGAGGAGTAGTCATAAGAAGTCTGCCAGAAAATAGCATAGGTCCAGCTCTCCCTAGCGCCTTCGATCAACGTCTGCAGGCGCTGTTGTAGGGTCTCCTGGTTGAGGAGGGAATGGGACTGGGGTGGGGGAGGTGGCGGCGGGGCTCTGGCGTTGTCGGTTCCCGGAGTGGTGGTTGAGGCAGCGGATTGCGGCGTAGGAAGCCACAGGGAGGAGAGGTCGGATGAGCTCGTGAAGGCCTCCATGACGGAAGAGTTGTCGTCAGTCCAGAGATTCATAGTCGGCGGCGACCTGTACTCCGTCATTCCATGCACTGGTTGTTTGGGTGAGAGTGAAGTGTTTGTTTGTCGGGTTTTGGCAGCAGAAGAGAGAGTGCGGCAATGAGTGAGGGTATGTGAGAGAAAGATAAGGTAATGAGTTGGCTGGGTGGATGTGGGTTTGGTATTTATGTGGATTGTATTTGGATTTCATTTTAGGTCTGGGGAGGAAGTGCATGTGCATTTGAGTGTTAAAACACTCTCGCTGAAGTACAGGAGTAATCACCTCATTTAGTGTTTAACTTTATTTTCTGATACTGTTTCTGTCATTAAAGCCTTCTCTCTTATCTATTGTTTATAAATTAGAGCTATTTTATTTTCCTAAATATTCATTTAAATTTTCTAAATAAACAAATAAGTTTATACATGAAATTTCATTCCACTATTTACGTGTTAAATATTAATGAGTGGCCATAGATGATTATTTATACTATACATAGCTACTATAAAAATAAATTAATACTTTATCAATTGTTTGATGTATGTTCACATTGTACAAACTTATTCAAAACTATCTTCACGTATAATTAAAAATGATAGATAATTTAAACCATGTTAAAACGCGATTATGCTTTACTTTTTACTTATGTAAAAAAAGTTTTATTGTAACTTGAAAAACCTATAAATTAAGTTCATACAATTATTCCTTGTTATAATGGAAAAATTTGTAATTATTGAGTATACATACATGGCTTCTTGAGATTAACTGTCTTGGTCATACTTATTATGAACGTTTATGTCTGTCACTCTATGAGAAGTGTCAATTTGTCATGCATTAGTAAAGTAAATTACACTTTGACCAAGAGCAAAAATAATTTATAGAGATTATTATCACTAGATTTTTGAATATATATATATATATATATATATATATATATATATATATATATATATGACATTTATTTATTGAAAAAATTATAAATTTATTTCATCACTATTTATTATTATTATTAAAAAATAATAACGATATAACTTATTTTGGATTTCTCCTTTTTATATTTATAATTTTTTTTATAGAAAATCAAAATAGATAGAAATACATTATATAATAAATAATTAAATGCACAAAATAAGGTATAAAATATATTTTAAGAAAATAATAGCAACTTAATGTTTATTAAATGATAGAATACAACATTTTCAAAATTATTTACAAGAGATCATTTGATAAGTCAAATATCAACAAATTTTAATTATTTCATCGTATTCAATGATGTTATCTTAGATCTTCAAAACTCTCTTTACTTTTAATATAAATTTTTTAAGAAGGAATACTTCAAAAAAAATAGTTTTTAAATACAAATAATACAACCTTTCTTCATTTTTGTTTACAAACTACACCCTTGGTCTTATATTATAAGATATAAATGAAGATATTTTTTGTCTATTAATGAGATATGCATTTTATTCATGAAAAAGTGAATATATATATATATATATATAGAGAGAGAGAGAGAGAGGTTAAGCAAACACATTTAAAAAATTACATTTTAAATTATAAATAGAATCATTAAATATAATCAAACGCTTAAACCTTTTAATTCTACTAAATTTAAATTTATTACGTCATTAACTAAAATAAGATGTATTTATTAGTCCGTAAATTGGATGTTATTTCTTATATTTTTTATCCAAAAATATTGTCATTTTAGCCTTTAAAAATTCAAATTAACCTACGTTTTTAGTTTTTAATAAAATATTTTTCTATTTATAATTTGTCTCCAAATAAAATGCATCATATTTATATATGTAGCATGTGAAAGGGAAATTATTAAGAATGTGATTATTTTAGTAATGTTTTTGAATATATAATATATTTATTGTTACTTTTAGTTTAAGAAAAATGATCCTATGTTTCGTAGCAAGTGGATATAAGAAAGATTAGTTCGGCGAATAAAAAGAAGGTTATTTGAATTGAGAAAAAAAATTAGAAAGTAAAAATAACAAAAAGATGATTTAAAAAAAATAAATAAATTATATATATAATAGATTATATAAAAGATATTGATTAAGTGATATTTTTTTATTATTATTCATAATTATTACAAAGGGAAGGGGAGAATAAAATGGCATAGAAATGCTACTCCAGCCTATCCAAACCTACGTAGTTTGTAACATTCTAAATTTGGGCGTCGAAAAATATGTCCAATGAAAGAGTAGAAAGGGATGACTTTCGTCACAGACACAAGGTAAATCATAACTCAGTTGATAAAACCGTAGATGTTGATAACAGCCATGTCATCTTCTATGGTGTCACGCGGCCTTCAATAAAGATGATCCACTAGGCTAACGCGTTCAAATAATCGCGTACACTTTGACCTCAGATAGTTGACCCTTTTCTTACTCTATCTATCCCTAAATTATTTTGAAGTATTGCATTACTTGTTTTTATTTATATATATATATATATATATATATATATATATATATATATATATATATATATTCTAAATATCTTAATGTTTATGAAATAGAACAAACAAATATTGGGTTTGAAGAAACTATTACAAAACGATTATTAAATAAATTTTTAAAAAATAATCCCATCACTTTATAGAAATCGGTAAATATTTAAAAGAAGACATATTTTGTTATAAAATAATTAAGATTCTTATAAATTATTCATTCTTTTATAAGATATTATCATTCTTACCTATATTTAGAAATTAACTAAATTGTGTGATATGTCTTTTAAGTTGTTAGAATGTTAAAAAAATAAAACACATGCGAGATTCTTTGATATTTAAATAAATAAATAAACGAGTGAATAGTAATATATATATATATATATATATATCATTTTTTTTAAATAATATCTAAATATAACTACGAAATTATAAAAATATTTATATTCGTATTTTATTATACATATGTTTAATACATCAAAAGTTAAATATTTTAATAAATTATCTGTTAGAACTTGTTTTTAGGTTCAGATTGTATAATTATAATAATTTTCGTTAATAAATAATGAACAAAAATTAAAAATCATTAATAAAAAGAATATATCTAATATAGTAGTAACATTATCTAAATTTAACAAGATAAAATAAAAACAATAGTTTTATTAATATATGTAATTATGTTAAAAGTATTTTCTATCATTATTTTTTTAAATGTAATGTCTTGACTCTTAAAACTTGTATAGCTATTTATTTATTGGATCACGTTTTTCTCGATGTTTGTCGTGTGAAGAAACTTTAATTTAATTTTTTCTCCGATTGAGCACGTGCATATACCGCTTTCCCATGTGCAAAACCAACCCCTCTGTCTAATATCTTATTTGGTGGTCATTTTTATATTCCCACTTGAGTGGTTTAAAATATATTTTTTCTTGGATTAATTATTTCCTTAGCGTCAGAGATTATCTTTGTCAATTTTATAATATCTCATCACTTTATGGTTAATATTTTATTTTATTTTTATTTCTTCAACTTTCTGGAACTTTTATTCAGCCCTCAACAACTTTCTTCCTATTGCGTCAACCCATTTTGAAGCAAAATGATAAAGTGGGAACTCCTTCGATGATCATATCATATAATACAAAACTTCTTTGCTGATTAGGAAATAATAGAATATAAAATATAATTAAAATAAAATAAACATAATTTATATTCAATATTAAGTGTCTAACCCAATAAAGGCCACATTAAAATACGATATAATAACAGGTAATGACATGAAATATTAATGGGGCGATAATTACGTTGTTTTTATCACATTTTGTCTAATAATTAAACAGACATTAATATAATAATATTAAATTACTTTGCCTCAGCTACTCTAGGTTTTTTATCTTTGAAGTGTGACTAAAAGCATTGTTTATTTGTGTTTTATATATTGCTTTAACTTGTGGAGATCTCAGATTGAAATTGAAAGACTTCCCTTATTATTTTAAACATGGATGCCGTAGGGTTCATTTCAAATGGATGATGAAGAAGCGAGGTGGAGTGGTTTTTGTTTCTCTCAAGATTTCCTCTACTACTTTCCACTCTTCCTCTTAGCTAGTAAACTAAATCATTAAACAATAATTAAAGTTTAAAGCATATTATCGATTAATAAACTCAATATTCTAAGGAATTTTAGAGTCATATTCCTTAAAATTTTGTAATTCCAAAATAATTTAAAATTTTGACCTCAAAAATTTAATATATTTACTTATATATTTATAATTTTATTCTCTTATCTTCTTTATTTTCAAACTTTATTATTATTTTATATATTTACAATTTTATTCTTATATTTTTTTATCTTTATTAACCCTTTTATATTTATTTATTATTTTTTAATAATATATTATTTGACCTCTATTTTCAATGATCAATATCTATTACTAAATAGATTATATAAAAAAATATTTATATTTTTTGTTATTTATTAATATATATCATTGACTCCAAAATTATGTAAAGAAATGTAAAAAATAAAAAATAAGACTTTAAGAACTAGGAAGCATATGAGCATGGTGGTTCCAAAAGTAAATTAATTCACGTTACGATAAATTTGAGAAAGGGAACAACATTGTTCACTACAAGTGTATCGAAGACAACAAATTTGTCAACCCCTCGCTCTGTAGTTTATAAGGAAAAAAATATGCATGAGGCCGAAACGGAAAAAATATTAAAAAATGATTATACACTATAAATTTTGATATTCAATGAAAGAAATTATTTTTCAATTGTTTACAAATTTGATTTTTTAACTGAAACACACACCTTACTTGACAGACAGTTTTAATTTTTCCATGAAACCTGAAATCTTGGATTTGAACGATTCCAAACAAGCTCTAAGTAGACCACCTATAAATTTCTTTACCTATGTTTGTATTATTTTATATCATGTATTGCATTTACGCATTTCTTTTCATTTTTTTCTCTAAATATTAAATAGTTTTCTCTTTCACGGTTGGTTTTTGGGAAAGACTTCACAAAATTTATTATGTACGGCGGAATTGTAAAAATCTTGTCTCATCACAATCAATGAATCTT